TTTTTTTTTATATTAAAGAAAAATAATTAGTTCAAACTTTGAGAAGAAATTTTTCGAGAAAATGGCAAAATTATAGGTTAATATCTATAAATAATAATCAGTTGACTAATAATGAGAATGGCTATATAAATTTTGTAAAATTCAATAAAATATATGTAATTTGTAATAATTTAAGTTTTAATTCTTGTTTAATGTCATAAGTAAGGCTACTTTGATTAAATATCGAGAATCCCTCTAATATGTTTTAAAAAAACAATTTTTAAGATAATGTAGTTCATTAAAATCAAGTTTATAATTAATTTTGTTTTAGAAATTATTTCACAAAATAATAGCAAGTTGTGCTTTTATACCTTAATATATTTTATTAATTGTTTTCTATTAATTAAAAATATAATGATTGTAGCATTTATTCAAAGTATACAAAAATAAAAAGAGTAATGTATTATTTAAATTTAACTATTTGCATTAAAGAAGACTAACTAAAATTAAATTGATGTAATTATAAAGTTTACATATATTTTGCTTGTTTTTTATCAAGAAATTCCTGAGATATGTTATTTAATTAGTATTTATCAAATAAATATTTATATATTATTTATTTATAAAAATAGGTAAGGAAAATAATTCAAAATATTTTGTAATTTTAGTTAGCAACTGAATTTGTATTCGCATGAGAAAATAAAGCAATTTAATACTTTAAAAATTAACTGTGTTAATTTAGAGATCTCAAAGAAGGATAAATAGAAAATGGGCTCATTTTAAATAATTATAATTAATAATCACTTAAACAAAATAATCATCAGGTTTATTAGTTTTTAATGATCATTTAATGTATTAAAAATGCTATATTATTATGAATTATATTTTTTTAATTAAAAAAATTAACTTCATTTTTTATTTTAATAGAAATAGGTTTTATATAGAAGAAATTATTTATTAAATTCTTTATTTAAGAAGAAATTCAATATGGAAAATAATTAGGACTTAGGAAAAATAATGATTGAAGGTGTGACCTACTAAAAGTTATAGAAACTTGGTGAAGGGACAGAAGGCAATGTTTATAAGGGACAAAATATTTAAACAAAAGAAATTGTGGCTATTAAAGAATACAAAAAAATTAATAGTAATGAATTAAAAGCAATTTAATCAATTCGTTAAAATAACTTCAGCCATATAATAAAAATTAAAGGATTATAAAATTATTAAAATACATGTCCAATCATCGTAATGGAATTTGCTGATGGTGAATTTTTTTAATATATGCAAACAAATGATTACCATCGCTTGGATTATTAATAAAAAAATTAATATTTCCTTTAAGTAATTATTTATATAATTATATAAGATGGTATAAGGAGTTAGCTAACTTCATTAATCTGGATTATTTCACAGAGATTTAAAACCTGAAAACTTTGTATTTTTGAATTAGCCTAACAATTAAAAAATCATTAAATTGATTGACTTTGGTTTAGTCAAAGAAAATGCAAATTAGATGGCCAAAACTAGTTGTGTTGGAACACCATATTATATAGCTCCAGAAGTGTTATAGAGTAATTCAAATTTAGGCTCTTTTTATGATAAATCAGTGGACATATGGTCTTTGGGATGTATTTGGTATGAAATATTAGTCGGAAAAACATTCTTTAATGGTAATTACAATTTATAATCTAGGTACATCAATATAAGAAATATTTAATTTAGTTTTAAATAAATCACAAGTTGAAATTGATAAATAAATTCAAATAAATCCAATATTATAATAAAAAGAAAAAAATTTAATTAAGGAGATGCTTAAAAAAAATTCAATTCAAAGATTGAAATTGGTTAAAATTATTGAATCTTATAATTAATTTAATCAACAGACACAATTAGACTTTTAAGAAAATAAGAAATTAACAAAAGAGATAGAAGAATTAAATATAAAACTTTAAAGGATTTAAGAAGAAATTAAAAAGGCAATGAAGTAAGAGTTTGATCAAAAATTGCATGATTTAGAATTAAAGAAGAAATTAGAAATGGAACAAATGAAAAAATTAATAGAAAAGGAAAAAGATAAAGAACTCTCTGAAAAATTAGAATAGTTTAAAAATATATAAAAAAATTAATTTGAACTCTAAATTAAAGAAAAAGAAAAACAACTAAAAATATAACAAGAATATGCTCTAAAATAACAATAAGATAAAGAGTTATTAGCTAAAATGAAATTTTAATAAGAAATAGAATTTTATAATGAAATGGATAAATTTAAAAAAAGTAAAGAAGAAGAGTAAAATTAATATCTTTCATAGTATAAAGAGAGAGAAAATTAAAAAAAAGAAGAAGAAATTAAATAAATATAAATAAAATAGGAAAAATAAATTAAGTAATAGTTAGAGTAAGAAATTAAGACGAAATATATGCTTGATTATTCAAGAAAAGTTACTGAATTGGAAACTAAATAGTAATAAGAAAATTCATAATAATTACAAGACAAAAAATAATCATTGTAAATTCTATTATAATCTCATCAAAATACAATTAAAATGTTTAGCTAAAACTTAAACTAAACGCTATAAAAGATTAAAAATATTGATTTATAAAATGATAACAAAGATAAATTGATACAATATATAAACAGTTTGCTATAAAACAATACAGTAAAATTCTAATAAAATGAATAGAAATAATTATAAATATAATAAGTTTCTAAATAAGAGTAACTTAGAGGTTTAGAAAGTCAATAAGCTTTAGAACTACAATAAGATATATAGGATTAAAATAATAATAATCGATTTATATCAGAATAATTTACTATACTCTAACAATAAGCAGGAGATAAATAAAGGTTAGAGTAAAAAAAAGAAGAAGAATAGAAACTATAAGTATTAGAACAGCAACTAAATATAGAAAAATAAAACTTTAAAAATAATTTTTTTAATTTAAAATAGCAATATGATTAACATTCTGGAGATATTAATAAAATTTAGGAAAGAATTAACTTTTATAAAAGAATTTAATATTCAATTAAAGAACAAGAAAAATGTCAATAAGTCATAGAGCACCATTCAAAATTGGCATAAGAATTATAAGTTTTAGAATAATAAGAAAAAATTATTATTTAAATTGATAAATCACAATAGCTTATTACCTACTAATTTTTCAAAAGCAAGCTTGAAGAACTAGAATCAGCTTAAGATAAAATGAGAAATTTGATTGATGAAATAAATTAATCTATTGAATAAATTGATAACAAATTTTTAGAAGAACATTAAGGATAAATTGATGCCTAAACTAATACTTTATAAGATTTCTATGATAAATTTACATATCTATCCGAAAATAAACAATATGCTGAGAAGATAAACTAAATAAATAATCAAATAGAAATTTACTTTGAATAATTATAAGGTTTAAATTCATAATTGAAATATGAAATATTTTTAAATTATTAGAAAATCAAAAAAACTTTTGATTCTATTAGTTAAAAATTATAAGAATTCGAAAAATAGTATAATTTAATTCTTTAATAAAAACATAATGATTAATAAATTCATTAAAGAAATGTTGAAAGAATAAAAAAATTAGAAGTTATTGAAGGCTAATTAAATGATTTTATAAATAAAATGAATCGTTTAAAAAATTAAGTTAGTAATTTTAGCAATAATTAATTTTGCAAAAATGAAACAAGGACTTTGATAATGGATAAATAACTTAAAATAGATTAAAATATACATTCAATTAAACAATAATATTAGGATTTCTAAAAATTTAATTAAATAACTTCTTATTAAGCTATAAATGTTCAAATAATTTATTTAGAATAATTTTAAGAAAAATTAAAATAAGAATTATTAAATGAATAAGATAAAGTAAATTAATTACATTTAGTACTTTAAAAAATTACAAACGAAAACAAGGGCGAATAAGAAAAAGAATATTTTTAATTAAAGAATCAATTCTAATTAATATATATGCAATTTTTTAAAGAGTTTTTGTCAGCCAAAATTGACAAAGATAAAATTATTTAATTAGAATTAATAAATGAGAAAAAAGAAGAATTGAAAAAATAACTAGAATAAGAAATAGAAACCATTGACAAATACTATGAAATTAACAAAGATAATTAAATGCTATCGTAAGAATTGATAAGTATTATGAAAGGAAAGTAATAGGAATTTTTCAATAATATTCCAGTATTTATCAATAAATTATAGGATCTTAATTCAAAAAAAAACAAAAAATTAACTGAAGTAAAATAAATCGCACATAATAAATAGCAAGAACTAAAATTTATACCTTTGGATAACACTTTTATTGATACTTGTAAGTTCTTATAATAATAAGAAGAATTCATCTCATAACAAATAACTGAAATTAGTCAAATAGAATAAAAGTCACAATAAAATCCACAAGCTTTTAATGAATTAAAATAGAAAATGCAAACTTTAATTTATCAATTAAATTAATTAATATAAAAAATTCCTTAGAATGATGAAATTTAATAATTCAATAATATCTATAAAAACAATTTAGAATCTTATGAAAAATTATACACTTTAATTAATTATTTAAAATAGTATCATTTAACAAGATATTGTCAACGAATTAATGAAAATGCAAATTAATAAAACTAAAATTTAAAGGAAAATAGTTTAAGGCCAGCCTAATTATCAAAATTAAATGTAAAGATGGAAGAAAATGCTAAAAGGGAGAACGAAGCTTAAAATTAATTAAAGATATATGAAAATATTTTGTTTCATTAATACAATAACAAAATGATTGAAGAATTGCAAAAAGATTTTGAGTAGATTTCAAAGCAAATTTAAGAAGTAGAACTTTAAATAAAATAAAAATAATTAGTAAAACTGAGAAGTTAAATCAAAAATTAAAATAATATAAATGAGATTTTAAACAATAAATAATATTATAAAATAGCTGAATTCGCATAAATTTTAGAACTTAATATAATACGGAAAAATAATTGAGTATATTTATTATTTAAATTATGATAACTATTTGAAATTTAAAATTATAATCATTCGTATCCTTAATTATTTGAAAAAGAATCAACTTTCATTTTAAATCTAACCTATTTTATTTATTTATTTTAGGTATTATTCTCTAACATTCAATAATAGATGCTATTAATAATCTATTTTTGTGGTAAAATTTATTCTGAAGGTATTCTTTGTTTTGAATTCCATGTTAAAATGTTTTATAATTATTTTTAAGAAAATAAATTTAAATTTGTTGTTTCTTACATCTTCAAATCTGATAATCTATTAAATATTTTGACTAAAGTTTTTTTATTTAATTAGATCTAATTAATAGATTATTTTTTTTAATTTCAAGGTTACATCTGATAAACTAGTCTTTAAAATATAGATGCTAATAGTAAAAAGAAATTATTTTGTTTGATAATTTTTGCTAATTCTTTGAATCAAGATTACAGATATATTATTTTTAATAAAAAAGGAAATACATATTAATTTATTAATAATGTACATTAAAAACATAAGACTAATTTACATTAAATGTTTTCCAGATGAAAATAATTCTACTATTTAAATGATAAATAAATTGATAAAGGATTAAAGGTAGAATAGATTCAGAGGTTAAAAATTGATAAAATACAAAGAGGGGTGTTGTTTAACATAAATTTTAGTAGAATCTATTTTAAAGGTGGACGAGAATTCTGAATAAATTATTAAAATAAAGATATACTACCTAAAAACATTAATATTTTCAATATGTTATGTATTTTATTTAAATAATACCGATTAAAATGACTTGTTCATCTATTATTAATCTAGTTAACTTGTTTAATTTACCTATACTATTAAATATAAAATCTCTATTGCTGTGGTACTATTTTGTTAGTCTTCCTCTATTTAATGCTGTAATTCATCAATTCATATATCCCTCTTGAAGAGATTTTTGAATAATCAAGAAATATTCTTAAATTTAAGTTTGTATCTAATAGCGACTAAAAGTTAATCCTAAGAATTATTCAAAATTTATGTATATGATTTAATCAACTATTGCTTTTAGGTTTTGTAGTATTTATTTTATATATGAGAATATGTAATAGTTTCAATAAAGTATAAAAAAGTTTAATAAAAATAAATATGTCGAAGCATTATCAAAAACTTTAATAAATAAATTGATAATTTTATTCCCTGCTTAATTTTTAGTTCTTTAATTAAAATAACTATCAATAAACTATTATTATTTATATTAAATAAAAATCTTCAAAGTATAGATAGAATTTTTGAAAAAAGAAATTAAGCATTTTAAGTTTGAGAATACTTAGATAATACGGTTATCGAAAAGCATGCTCTATAAATTTGTAAATAATAAAAAAAAAGATTTAATCTAAGTTCATATATATTTTATTTCTAGATAATAAATAAAATCTTAAATATAATGATATCATTAAAACAACATAATATTTAATAGTTAATCAATATATTTAGGATTTATTAAGAAATTTATTTTGGATTACTTTTTTTTCTTACAAAAGCAAATTGTTCAAGTCTTAAAATCTCTTAGAAAAATGTTAATTTATGTTTAGAGCAGTAACAGAATTTTTTAATTAAGTAATTTGCTAAAAATTACCTACTGTCTTCTATCTTGGAACATTTAGTACAATAGGCCTTCCTTTAAGATTCCTATTTTGCATCATACGATCTAATTCATTAGTAATAAGAAAGTGAAAAGAAGAGCCTATGGTGATATAAGATAATTAAATTAGATATCTATTAGCCTTAAGACTTTTAAGTTGCTTATGCATTTTCGTATATTCATTTTATCCATCAGAAATTAAGCAAAGGCAAATTTTTTTTGTTTTAAATTAGTATTGGCCTTCTAATAATAAAAATAGATCAATCAAATTATTAAATGATTATTGTGTACCAATAATTGAAAATAATGAATTTTACCAACATAATTTAATAGTTTCTATTTTTGAAAATTCATTATCAAAATTCTTAAGAGCTGAATCAATTTCATATTTCATGGATTCATTAGTATCAAAGATAGCAACTAAAATTTTTTCTCTTTCATCATTTTATGGTCTAATCTATGATTTAAGAGATTCAGGAAGGAAATCAAATTCATCATTATGTTCAGTAATTGCCATAGATTATTAAATTTGCCCATGTGCCAAAACTTTGTTAATAAATTTAATTGCTTCTTAAGGAGATAATGATTTTTTCATGAATTTGACTTCATTAACTTCTTTCATCATAAGATTGAGTTCTTTCAATAGATCATATGATTCTTCATCAACTTTGGCCAATATTAATCTTTCAAATACAATATCAAGTTCAATAAGGGTAGAATTATAATATTCAATAAGTAATTAACGAACATCTTTACTATTTTTATCTTTTGAAAACAAATTTTAATATTTTTTTAATCCATTTATAATGATCTCTTTGGCCATTTGAATTTATGCACATTCATAAGTTAGTTGTTATTATTCAATTTATTTCATTTTAGCTGATGCTCTAGCATAACATCCAACACTATTGAGTTTTTTTTTTTGAGCTTTGAGAATGTTTTAAGGGTTTAAATTCTGAAAATCCTCTTTAACTGATAATTATTAAGATATTATTTAAATTATTAAAATTGAATCAGCTGCAGGATTTGATAATGATGCTTATAATCCTGTTAAAGTTTCAGGAGTGCATTAATCAATATCAATATCTCCTTCTGCAAATTAATTCACAATTAATTAAGCATTCTTAAATTATATTTGAATTATTTATTCTTATTCTGTCAGTTATTATTATTATAAATTTAATTAATTTTATTCTTCAACCCCTATGTCTCTTGCAAATTGCTAAACCTCTTAAAACTTTTCTTCAATTCTTTATTAAATTGCATTGTCTGGATCACTTGCAAAAATAATTAATGCTTATGAAGCAGAGTCAAAAACCATTTTTTTCTTATCAAATATATTGTTAGTAGGTTTGATTGTTTAACCATTAATAGTGACTTCTATTTCAGATACAAATAATGCTCCAGCAGGCAATAAATTTGTTGGTTTTGAAACTAAAGTCAATTTTACTTCTACTTCTGTTTCAAACAAATCTTAATACACTTTAGTTTACGCTTTTATTTTTGAAAAAACAGAGTCAAAAAAATCAAACATTTCCTCCTCTGTTCTTTCAGGATCTTTATTATGATGATATAGAGGTTCTATAAAATTTGAATTGTGAAGTAAATTTCTTAATTGATTAGATATAGTATTTGGAAACCAACTTCCTATTGATACAGAAACAAATTATATTTAGAATTTTTTTTTTTTCACTTCTTCTATCATTTCTTCGAGCTCTGTCAGATCAAACTTTTCATCACCATCAACTTATAAAAATTATTGTTATATGTTGAGGTAAGTTTTCAGTCAATAATTTGTTAAGTACATATTTAAATACATTTGTAATATCACCAGAACCTGCAGCTTAAAAAGGTTCAAAATCATGAACTTTATCTGTGAATTGAATTTTCATTTAATTATCTCCAAGATCATCAAAATTATTTTTGTGTGCCTTCAAAATTTCATCATATTCAAAATTCATCGAACTAGTACCATCCAATAAAGTAATAACATAGGATTAAACTAAAGCAGATTCAGGAGCCCTTCTGATTATTGGTTTCATTAATTAATTAATATAGTTTGGAATTATGAGAATGTGGTGGTATATGAATATATTTCTAATTCTATCATCTAATAATTTATATTTATGTTATTATCAAATCTCAATCATATGCAATATTCAAAACAGAAATAATTATATTCCACCACAAATAATAACAATCTTTCCTTTGTTAGGTATTTCATGTGGAGCTCCATATGGTTCATAACACTTGATTATTAATGGCAATTCTTTCAAGTACTTTGTCTATTAAGGAATTTTTGTTTACTATTATGTTGTTATAATTGACTCTATGTATTGCACAAGTTCCTTTTTATAAGTAACTTTTTCAGGGGCCATTGAAATTATACAAGTGTATTACCTGATTGGAGTTTTTGTGGATTTGAGAGATCATATTTAAAAATATTTGCCAAAAGAATGAATTGTAGTAAATTGAATTATTATTTGATATTGAGAATTAGTTAATCCAAATAGTTATTGTATCCAGATTCTTTCAATTACTATTTATATGTACAAAAACATGATTTTTCAATAATGTAATAGCATTTTTAGAATGAGGATATTGTAAGGCTGTTCCATCTTCTAAATTACAAACTCCAGATAAGAATCTAGATACTTCTCGACCTTTTACTTTTTCCAAAATATATTACTCTCCTGATAAAAAAAACCCTGCTAAATCAATTATTTTATTATTAAAAATCAACAAAGGCTTATTTTAAATTCATTTTAATATAGTATACCTTTTTATTCGATATAGTATACCATTTTATTCGATATAGTATACCAGTAATGATTCTTAAAGTGTTTTTGAATGTTTTTTCTATTTTTCATCATATTTGGTGAATATTGAGTATATTTTACCATTTTAATAAAATATTTAAAAAATGATTCTCCATAAAAAAATAAATCCATATACACACCAAAAGGAGATAATATCACCTTTCTCATTTTATTTCTAATCCTTATATGTCATATAATAACCAAAACCTAATTAGATTTTCCCAAGCAGATATATAGTATCCCAAATTATATGTAAAAGAGATTTTATTTTTAGATGAGTTTATATACTTACAGATTGAATACCAAATTTAAATATGATTCCACCTATTGTTTATAAAATTATAAATGCCAAAAATATGTATCCAATTATTGATTTACTCCCTAAAAATCTTAATTACCTTTTAGATTAGGAGTATTTCCTTAAAAAATCATAAATAATTCTGCAATTATTGATGGTAAAACTGAAATACTCATTATGATTGCATGAATTTCAATTTTATTTTTAACAGTATTCTATAATTATTAGCAATTATGTCTTAATCTATTAAAATACCCTATATTATACAAAATTAGCATATTAATGAAAGTAAAACAGCACATATTTGTCATTGTTTTAATACTCCTAATAGTTGACATCATGAGAACCTTATCAATTTATGATTTAATTAGAGAGCAATTATATATGCAAATACATATAAAATTACGTAATCAAGGTTTTTATAATACTCTAGATAATTAAATTATAAAAATAATCTTGATTTTAAATATATCAAGGCTTTATTTATTCTTTTGTTATTTTATCTAAATAATTTTGAAATATTTAACAAACTCTGAAAATATTTCACTAAATTTCTAAAAGATTTTCATTAAATTCATTTTCATAAATAATACAGAATTCTCAAACTAAATAATTGGCATTCAAATTAATTTTCACAATTTATTGCATTTAATACAAATAAATTGATGGAATACAAAAAATTTATTCATCTCCCCATTTTCCAAATATGTAAAAAATGTCTCTTATTATCAATATTTGTTTATAAGTATTGATAAAAATAAAAGTATGTTAAAATATAATAAACCTTTATAAATTGCAATGGCTATAAAATAAGATATCAATATTAAAGAATAACATCTAGATTACTTGTTATTATAAACCTAAATTTTTCATCTATTCAAAATGATTGTCTTAATTCTTTTAGAATCGTATATTTTATCCTTTTTTAATTAATAAAATTTGAATGGAAATGCTTACTAATTAATATTTTAGCAAAAATTATTAAAAATTTATTGTACTTGTATTGCTATACAAATTTAATTATTATGTGCAATTTGTTTTGTTTTTTGGATTGTTTGTTATTGATTAACCAACATAATAGAATTTCAAACTATTTTACAAAATTCAATTAAAAATATTCATTAATATATATTCTCTTGAGAATGAATTTACTTTGTATTTTTTCTATTGAATATCAAAAATTTTTTCATTAATTTTAAGATTTTAATCGGAAAGTATTGAATTGTTATGAAATGGGAGGTTATTTAAAAAAAATTGGTCTTTAAATTCATCATTTTAAAAATGAAGAGCAATTGAATAAAAAATAAAAATTATTATTTGGAATTTTCTGTTTATGTTTTGAAATATCAAAAAAAATTGTAATTTAAGTTATCTTTCCAAATTAAATATTTTTTCAATAATAAAGCTAAAAACTATCGTTATTTTAAGCAGTTACCTTATTAGAAAAGTAAGTTTGTTAATAATTTTATTAACAATAAGAAGATAGTTTATAATATTCAACTTTTAACAACATCAATACTATGAACTTGAAATTAATAAGTTAAATAAATTTTTTATAATAAATAAGAAATTAATTTATATAAATAAATGTTAAAAATTAATCTAGGTTTACTAATTATTTTTCTTCTAACTTGTTTAAAGTAACATTAATCGTTATAAAAGACATGTTTATTCAAGTTGTAATTACATAGACCCAGGGTCTACAATATTAAGTCTTACCAATCCTGTGTAGGAAATAGATTTAAAACTAGAAAATAGAATTTTAAACTCTAAAGAAAACGTAGGCTATGGTTTATGGTTGAAATACTAGCCATTCATTCCAATTTCAGACATAAGTATTATATTTTGATTGATATAATTTATTAGGCTATACAGGTAAGGGATATTCATCAACAGGATAATTTATATATTTCATGTAATAGAAAGAAACAAAATTTAATGTGTTAACTTTGTATATTCAAATTAATTCTTAAACTAAGACAATCACACATAATATTTTTTATTCATTTAAGAAATCTACTGGAACTCTTGTATTTAATTTTGAATATGAGAATTATGAAGGTAGATGGATATTATTCTATTTCTATTGTAATCTTTCATCAGAATTTACAATTATAGGTTTCTATGAATAAGAATAAACAATAAAAAGGAAAACCTAATTAGTGAGCGATATACCTGCCTATGTTTAATGGATGAGACATACTATAGGAGGGAGATAAGATATAATAAATTAACTTGGAGAATATTTAAAATTATCCTAATTCAAAGGTAGGTTATCTTCACTTTTTACCTAGGGAACACTAAACATTTTTAATAACTTGTAATCCTTTTTATTTGATTGTTAAATAGAATCTGAATGCTTAGGTTCAAACTATTAATTGTCAAGCAATAATTAAGCATTATTGGGATTGAGTTACTCTAATGGTACAACAAATTTATTTGAAAATCCAATTTATGTAATTAAAGGATGGATAAAATTATCATTATTAGAACAATTAACTCTAGATACTGTGATATTTCGAATAACAATTAATTAGAATTATGAAAATGATCTGGACATTGGAGATAAAGATATTTATTTGTAATATCATCAAAGTAGACTTCCAGCATAAAATGGATTTTCAATAACAACTTATTCTTACAATTTTCCAAGTTAAGACAAATACACAAGTTCTAGTACTGATATCATAAAAGAGTTAGGACCATAATATTTAGAGTTGTTAATAAAATGGCATTATATTTAATATGAGATTGGAACTAATAATAATGAAGGGTAACCTTTGTTCACAATGTATTTTCCTTCTTTAATACAGAATAATAGAACTTTTAAGTGGAGTAATTAAATTAAGCATTTCACAGGAACTATAATGTATTATTATGTTGGAGGAGATAATTATTCAAGAAATTATATGGAAGGATATATAAGTGATCTATAATTAACATCTTATTGTGTAACTCCTATAATTACCTTATCTCCTAATTGTCATTATTCTTGTCTCACATGCGATGGCCCTAATAGTAATAATTGTTTATCTTGTCCATTAGACAGTCAAAGAATCTAATCAGTAACTTAGAAAATTTGTACTTGCAAAAAGAAATATGTGGATATAGAAAATGAACCAATATGCAAACCAGTATCAGATATTTTTCCATTAATGACCGAAGTAGAATTAGAATTAAAATGTGATTATCAAGGTTATGATGTTTGCACTAAAGATAAAAAAGAATGTTCATTTGGTTATTTTTTATACGACAATCTTTGTTTAAAATGGTATTATTACTAAATATCTTTATAGTCCTGGGTATTCATCATTTAGTACAAGAAGCGTTATTCAATGTTCAAATTGTTTATTTTACCCTGCAATTTTTCCATAAATATTTACATGTTATTAGGATACAATTACTTATGATAATGATGATAATTTTTCTTATTATACTGTTAAAAGATAAGAAAGAGATATCGAATTTTATAAAGTTGTCCAAAATTTAAATGGAATCTAAGAACTATCTCTTAGATATGGATTTAAATCTTGGGATACATGCAAAGAGGGATACTTTTTATTGAATGGCAATTGTATTTCTTGTATAAAAGGATGTAAGATTTGCCAACATGTTTAGTTATGTCAAACATGTTTTACAGGTTATGCTTAAACTAAAGATTTTTAATGCAATCAATGTGAAGATTGTGAAGATTGCTATATTTCGAATGAATAAGTTTTATGTAAGACTTGTAAAATAGGAACATATTTGTCATCTGAAAGTATTTGTTTAACTTGTGGGCAGAATTGTTCTAGTTGTGATTCAAATGGAATCTGCTATTATTGTGAAGATCCTTCTAAATATTTTTAAACATTTGATGGTCATAATTGTCTAACATGTAGTATTACTAATTGCATATATTGTTATTAATACTATATTAAAGAAGGGATTACTTATACTACACTTGACATTAATTAGGAAATCCTTAAACCTGAATCAGAGCAAATCTTAATTGGGTGTGCTCTTTGCTAACCTAATCTTTATTTCAACTAAGTCACCTTGACCTGCTAAGAAAAACCTGTTACATCATCCAGTAATCCAATTCCTGATGGTAATGGTGGAGGAGACCTTTCAAATTAAATGGATGATTGTACTTTTGGCATAATTACCAACTCATCTGGGGATGACTTATGTTTAATTAGTTTAACAAGTATAAGTGCTATTCAAAACACATATTGCTTATCAATCTCAAATTGTTAATAATGCATTCAAGAATATAGTCAAACAATTGCATTTTGTATATTATGTGCTGAAGGTTTTTATTCATCGATATTAAATGGTTAATGTTTTAAATGTGATTCTAATTGTAAGACTTGCATTCAGTAAAGTTAAACTTATTAAGATTATTGGAAGTGGAATATTAAGGCTTATTATAAATACATTTTTAATCAAGATGACTCGCATCCTTTTGAGACATATGCTGTATAAACTTCCCAAAATAATTTTGAAATCATATGTACTTCCTGTCCTTTAGGGTTTAGGCTAAATTAAAATACATGTATAAAAGATTGTGATATTGAATGTACTTAATGTGAAATTATTAATGGTGTTGCTACCTGTATATAATGCTTAGAAACTCCATATGGTTTTTTAAAAAGTCAAAATTCAAATGGAGAATGTTTAGCTTGTCCTAATAATTGTGCAGCATGCTTAGAAAGAACAGATTAAGAAATTTAGCTTTTGAATCCATATTTCTTAACAACATAATAAAATGAAAAATATGCAAGAATTTGTTATGAAAAATTCAATCTAGATTCATCAGAAGGTCAATATTTTAATGATCAATAACTCAAAACAATAACTTTTTGTGAAACTTTCAATAAATGTTATTATTAAGTTATTTTGGTTTAAAATGTTTATTGTTCTTTTAACCATTACAACACAATAGCAAATTAATTCTCAGAATAAAATCTAATAGCTTTTAAAATGAAAAATATTTTTATCAATGACCTATTTGATAAAAAGTATTTATCATCTGTCGAAACCTAAGGATTGTTTTAATATCTTAATGAAAAAGTAATCAGAAAAGTTATTTTTGAATATACTTTTATTTAAAACAACAATGAAATTTGTTCAATTCCTTCATTTTCGCAATTATTTTCAAAAATTTAATAAAATGTCTTCTCTGTTTAAACTCTTGATGTGAAATTTATCGGAAAACAAAATCCAACAACTATAACTATAGAATCCATATTAACTTTAAGTAATTTCACAACTATTACTTTTCAAAATATTTAATTTGATACTGAAAAACAAATCAATTCAAATTATTGGCAAACAGGTATTTCTCTTGAAAATACAG